GTGATCGATAAATGCAAATAAGTACTGTATTTGAATCAATCGTAGCAATTAGTCCAGACGCTGTGCTATTAAAATTTATTTCTTCAATATTTACCAAATAACATGATTTAATGTAAATAATTACCCCATCACTTTGATTTTGGTGTTTACAAGTTTTGTACATAGTATAGTGCTGTATATAAGGAATATTTTGATTACTTGAGCAGGGCAACCAGCACTTTGTTAAAACCAACACATCGCAATCAAATGAGATTCGGTCAAGTAAGGTTTGTAAACTAAGAAAGTTGCAATTTATCGATCTTATATTTTGATTTAGTATCTTTAGGAATTTGTTTGGTTGTTTAATATAATGTTTAGCCTCTTCCGGAGTACAATAATAGGATTCACTTAATGTACACTGGTCTATACTGTCGATGTATGAGTTAATATTATTCGCCATTTTTGCTATAAACATTTAAGACGTATAATTTGTATATGATAGATAATAAGATTGTATTGTTTATTTGAAGAATAGACTGTACTAAAATGTATGTATGTGTGCAAAAAATGTAATAAATGAGGTATTTTTAAGTTGTAATTTACGGGCATAGGTTTTGTAATGGTTAGTACAACGTTCAACGTACAATAGCGTATATAATTTAAAGCAAGATGTATCATGTTGATTATGGTGAGTGATTATCAGAAGTAATGGAGTTTTTATGAAATGTTTAATTGTAAATACTGTACGAGTTAGGACGAGACTGATGAGTGAGTTTAAGTGTTTGTGTGTAGTATGTTTTGTTTGTTGGTTTGTGAGTTTATGTAGTGTTTGTGTTAAGATCCTAATTTAAAATTAATCCTATTAATATTAATAAGAAAAACAAAGAAATAAACCTTAAAATTAACATGTAGTAACGTAGTGAATAGTTAAAATGTATTTTAAGGCACAATATAGCAATATCTAGTCATTCAAATTTTAGATCCTCGAATTGGGCTTCATTTCTAATTAATATCGCAGGTGATCCGTCTGATTTTCGTATAAAAACTTTTCCGTTCGCAGTCCAGCAAAACTTGTACATTTTTTCTTTTGATAACTGACGTGCCAGATAGTATATTTTCTTCGTACTAGGGGTAAGGTGTTCGGATACATACACTGGAGAGGCACTAGTATTTATACCAAAATGCGACACATTGAGTTTTTTACTAGGGTTGTTTTTATTAAATGATTTTACAGAGCTAATTATTGTCTGCTTTTGTGACATGTTTGCTAATTCAACAATTATGGGTCTGGTGGAACCCTTTTTTCCGGGGCCACGAAATATATCCTTAATATCACACGATTGTAAATTAATATTTAATGTTTTCAAGAGGTAGATCACTAATTGCGTTAAATCGTTTTTGTTTTCTTTTTCTTTTTCAGGAATATTACGTATCTCTAAGCCATTTCTTCTGCTATTTCGATAGAGTTCCTCAACTTTTTCTTCCAGAGACATAATGTATTTATGATTATCTTTACATTGTTTTTCAAGCGTTATTATTTTGTTTTGCATATCCTCATATTTCTGAGATATAAATTCCACTGACTTTTCTATGTCTGTATTTATCTTCTTTATATTTGTAAGACTAATTTCCATGTTAGATAGTCTGTTGTCATGATCAGCTTTCCATGACTTCAGCATTTGCATAACTTCTTCCTTGAACGAAAGAAAGTCATCCCTTGAGAGTTCATCGTGACGTCTTTTTTGTCTTGAAACCGCAAGCGAAGAAGGGGTTTTCGATAGTTTGGAGATATCGGAGTCTGATCCTGCTTTATTCGGTGAACGAAGCATGATGATTTTTAAATATGTTGAGCAAAGCAATAATTTTCTGCAGATTAGCTAATTTATAATAGCAGGCGCTTCTTGAGCAAAGGCAGTGGGTGGAGCCAAAAATTATGCAGCCAATGCACGTTAGTATACACGCTGGCAATATACAAAGGGCGTAGCTTACCTCTTCAATGAAGCAGGATGGCACTACGTTACGAGTATGTTGCCCTGGTACACGCACGAATTTTAGTATATTTTTGAAGAATTACTTTATTTATAAAAACAACACAATCACGGAGGACACGTCTGTTCGCTTTCGCGGTCCGGAGGGAAGGGATTTATTACACACTATACTAGAATATTTAAAAACAAACTGTTCTCAAATGATATTAGGGTTACTGGTTCAGTCACTTCACTAGTATTGTCAATTCGTCATGTGTCAAATCGGTAATAACTCAGCGGCCGGAGTATAGTCTATAGGTACGTTAGTACTCTTATTAGTTTGTGGTCTATAGGTTTCTCTGTCCGCGTAGCCTATCTGAGACACGCCATAGCGTGTCGCAGAAAGGGACAAAAAAATACGTCACTATATTTAGGGTTACAAGTGTGAGGAAAAATTTAACCCACAACTAGCTATAAAATTAGAAATTAGTATGTGAAGTAAGCCTGAAATGGAACACTGCTATTAACGATTATTATTGATATGTATTGTAGTTGATGGAGAGCTAAGTGGACTGTATTTGACTAATTATTTATTATAATTTACTGTGGTGAAGAAAGAAGAAACTAAAAAATTGTGATATCTGTCTGACTAACAAACTTAAAGAAACTATAGTGTAATGAATGAGAGCTTAGTGGGCTGTATTTATGTATGTTATGTTTTAATCTTGAAGAAAGAAGATACTGAACTAACTGCTTCCAGCCCTCTGTCACTCTTGCTACCTGCGTGAAATAATTACCTACAATCGCTAGGCACCCAAGGTAACATACGCAGTCGGGGCTAGCGCGTTGTAGGCGATTGAACGTTTGTTTCGAGTTTTTTTTTAACGGTGTTTACGTAATTAGTTTTTTTGTAAATACTTGTTGAAATAGTCTTTGTCTAGTGTTATTTATATTATTTTACCTATTTGATAATTTGTATTGGAAAAACGTCGCTCCTACTATAATTGTTGCGTGGATGGATGCCAAATGCCCAAAAGAAAGGTTTCAGATATATATCATTCTTTAAAATTACCGAAGGATTTTTTTAGGTACTGATGGTAAAAAAGAATTAAGTAATAATTTATCTACTTAAGTAATACCTATGTACTTTATTACCTAACTTAGTTGAAATTTACTTCACTATCCAAGTATCTACATAGGTACTTACATACCTGTATATTTTGTCTTGTATTAAAATATAAAATTGTATTAAAAATAAATACCTAAGTTATAATAACACTAAACACTGAAATTAAAACTTTGTTTTCCAACAAGATTTTTAACTGAGTAGAATACGATCACATTTCTGTTAGGAATCGTATTTCGGGTTTATTTGCTGTGGCCTTGCTAGTTGCATGCGTTGAGCATCGCAGAAATCACATAGGTACGAAAATATGGTCAGTCGATCATAGTTAGAATAGGTACTTCACCTAAGTAACTTAAATAACATTTTGCTATGTATTTTTTTACTCTTTATTGTTAGCCCTTAGTAACCACGAAAAGTCCGCCATGGCGCAGGAAGGGGAAAAGATGCAAAGTAATATGGACACACGCCCGCAGCGATTTGCGTGCGCGATTTATCTAATTAATAATAATGTAGGCTATTAAACGTCGGCAAGCAGTCGACATCAAAGGAGTGCAACTTCTGTATGTAGTACTATTATTTATTCTGTGCTGTTACTGTGATATCTATATGACTAATTATTTACTGAGAGAATTTATTGCTATTTTAAACTGCTAGGAGTTGAGATAAATTAAAGATTGTACAAAAAACTAAAGTAAATTTATTAAACTATTTACACAATGCGGCAGTCTTACAAACTATCACTAATCTAATGCCTAATGGGACTTAATAGGGAGCCTTAGCTGTCTTCTTGCTTGTTGTTCTTCTCTTGAGCACTGTCGCGAATGTCGTAAGCCGGCCGGGAACCCTTCTTTCATTCCCGCCGACGAGGTCGCGTTGGCGCTGAATAGAATGTTAGGTTTAGCATGGTCGTATTTGATGCCTGTGTCGTAACAGGTTTTGGAGAGCCTGATGAATTGACCCTGGTCTCTGAGGAAGACAGGGGGCAGGACCTGTTTCTTGAAAATTCTTTGGTATTATAATAACCCTTTTTGTAAAATTTTTCTTTGACAAAACATTTAAACCTGTTTAATGACAAATTGATCACTTGTTTTAACTGCTGCGACCACGACAAGGTAGAATCTAGATATATCCCCAGATTGTTTACAGATTTACTGTAGGGTATGACAACGTCATTTAATGTCACCGAGGGTAGGTTGTTCCAGTCAACTCTGGAGACCATCCCTCCACCACCAATAACTATAGCCTGGGACTTGAACGGATAAATTTTTAGACCATAACGCTGACTCCACTGGTTTATCGCCGCTAAGTCATTGTTGATGGTGGCAACAGCAGAAGGCAGATTTAACAGAGTTGACTGAGTGTAGATTTGGAGATCGTCTGCATACATGTGATAGAGAGAAACAATATTTTGAGAGATAGAATTAATGAATATAGCAAAAAGTAAAGGAGTCAGCACACCACCTTGAGGCACGCCAGCCCGTAATTCGCACCAAGATGAGAACTCATCTTCGATGCGAACACGCTGCCGTCGGCCATAGAGATAACTATGAAACCAGTATATTTTATGGCTAAAATAACACTTTTTATTTCTTTTGAAAGACAAGAAATTAGTTAGGTAGGTAAATATAACAAGAGTCAATCTTTACACAGTGAATATAAAAGGTCTGCTAACCATTTCTTACGAATGATACCGATGTTCGCAATAGCACGCGGTACGGAACGGACGTGTTGCAAGTCAATCGAATTAAAAATAAATAATAAGTGTGTGACTCTGAGTGTTTTGAGCCCAAAAATGGGCACTAAATGTGACGGCTGCCATGCCGTAATATGTGATGATCTCAGGATGCAGTGTTCGGAGAAAAATTGTGGTAAATCTTACCATCTTGCGTGTCTTGGATTGGGGAAGGAAAAGCTGGAGGCTACCACAGGGGAAAGTGGAAGTAAATGGCTATGCCCAGAGTGCACGAGCATTATCCCTAAAGGTGGTAATTTGAACACGCCAGTACGAGGACCCAAGCAAGTGAATAAGGAACCAGTTACACCTAGCTACGTCAATATCAAGCGAGGTGGCGGCGGCGGTCCGACTACCGTTGATTCTATAGTAGTAGAAAATGAGATACTGAAAGAGTTAAGAGCGTTGAGATATGATTTTAATTGTCGACTAGATAGACAAGCAAAGGAGTACGACCTACTTCAAAAGAGATTTGTTGTTACGGAAAACGAATTACAAAAAGTACAAAAGATTTTGGAGGTAGTTCAAGAAAAAGTAAATAAAATAGATCTTTTAGAGGCTAATATTAAAATATTAGAAAAGAAAAAGGAAGAACTAGAATCAATTTGTAATATGGAGAAAAGTCAGCAGTCAGCAGTCCAGCAGCCGGAAAAGTCAGTTTTAACGTTTGCAAATGTTGCAAAGAAACAAACTCAAAAGAAGGCAGCGGATAATAAAAGTGTGGCCATGAAACCCACGGAGCCGATTGTGCACAAACAATGTATTGTGATAGATTCACAAAATGATCTAACGGATATTACTATTCAAAAAGAAAATAAAATGGAAACTAGTAATTGGACGGTGGTAAACAAGAAAAAGAGATATCCCAACGATGAAGTAAAAAAAGGAGAAAGTACGAATTCAACTGAAATTAAGGGATCAGAGAGAAAAAGGTACCTGCATGTTTGGCGGTTAGACACAGAAACCACAATTGAAAGCCTACAAAGGTATGTTAAAAATATTTGTGGAAATGAAGTGCCCATAAAGATTGACCAAATAAAACATAAGACTCAAAGAGACTATTCTTCATTTATTATAGCACTCCCTGAAAGTAAATATAACGTATTATGCCAACCAGAACACTGGCCTATAAATATTGAATTTTGCGAGTGGGTGTGGTTTCGTCGAAACACCCGTGAGCAACAAAGTGACAAAAAATAGTAAGAATATACAAATTTACTATCAGAACGTGAGAGGACTTAGAACGAAGACAAGCGATTTCTATTTGGCTATTGCTTCATCTGATTCTGATTTATTCATCATTACGGAAACAGGTTGTAATGAGTCGATTTACGACGGTGAGCTGGTCCCACCAGGTCATAGTATTATTCGGTGTGACCGAACAGATGGACGCAAACAAGGCGGCGCGTTTTTAGTGGCCACACCGCGTTTCGAACTGAGACGAATTACGATACCTGACAATGTAAACATTGACAATCATATATTCGAAATAGTTTGCGCTACTGTCTACCATCGAAACCGGTTTTTGTTTTTGTTGTGCGCTGTTTATATACCGCCTAATAGTAGTGAATGTGAATATATGGTAATGTTTAGAATAATTGAGCAGCTATGTAACAGTTACGACAAGGTTTTAGTGTTAGGAGATTTCAATATGTACTCTTGTCCACTTAGTGTAAATCAATATTTTGAATATTTTATAACTTATTGTGGGTTCATTCAGAGTAACAATATTTACAATTGTAATGATAGATGTCTAGATCTAGTATTGAGCACGGTTGAGGAGCGGGGAGATGGTGTGCGCGTGAGCGGGGCGACCCAGCCGTTGGTGCCGGTCGACGTACAACATCCACCGCTCGATGTAACTGTCTGCTTGCGATCGCTTACTCACACTGACACTATCGCGCATTCAAGGTCAAACACATTTTCAAACATCACCAAAATACCTCCGCAATGGCATTTTAAAAAAAGCTAACTTTCCTTTGTTGTATCATTTAATTGAGACCACAGACTGGTCTTCCATATATGAATTAAATTTAGAAATGAGTTTAGATTACTTCTACGAGTCTATTAATAAAATATTAGAACAATGTGTTCCAAAAAAAATTCAATGTTATAGTAGGTCTAAATACGTGTATCCTGAGTGGTATACCGCCGATGTTATCCGATTAATACAACAAAAAGCTACTCTTCATAAAGTATACAAGAAAAGTAGATCAGGTTTAGATTACGAGGTTTTTTCACAATTTAGGGCTAAGGTCAAACAAAGCATAAGAGAAGCGTATATACACCATCAGCATATCGTTCAAAGTAATTTACAGGAAAACCCTATATCTTTCTGGAGGTATATAAACTCCAAAAAAAGCAATAGAAGTCCTCGGAAAATGTATAAAAACGGTGAACTTCTGACGAATGAACAGTCAGTACATGAGTTAGCCAATTACTTCTATTCGGTGTACAGTCCGTGTAAGGCTAAATTAGATGTAAATTCAGCGATACAGGTGGCTGGCAGTGAGAACGCGGCAGCACGCGTACACCTTAGCGCGTTACAGCTCAGTGAGGTACAGCACGCCCTTAAACAACTTAAGCCAAAGAAATCGACAGGACCAGATGGTATACCACCGTATATATTTAGAGACTGCCGATCTGTTCTAGCTAAGCCTTTGCTTCATATATATAACCAATCCCTGAGAGCAGCAGTATTTCCGGAAAGATGGAAGACGACTAGGGTAGTACCAGTACCGAAAGCTGGTGCCAAAGGAAACCTGGATGGTAATAGACCTATCGCAGTCCTGTCGACTCCAGCAAAAATATTTGAGTCAGCTATACAGAAGAGCGTATATCATCAAATGGGTATACAATTATCGGATTCACAACACGGGTTTCGGCCGAATAGAAGTACAAGCAGTAATCTTCTTGCGTATATGGCGGACGTGTTACCGACGGTGGACGCGGGCGGGCAGGTCGACGCAGTCTATTTCGACTTCAAAAAAGCGTTTGACCTTGTAGATAATGATATCCTACTCAGAAAGCTAGCAGGCATTGGTTTTACACCACACTTACTCAACTTCTTTGCTAGCTACATGACAGACAGACAGCAATATGTAGAATATGCAGGATACCGATCAGACACATATTTCACGAGGTCTGGAGTAAGCCAGGGTAGTAATTTAGGTCCTTTGGAGTTCATAATAATGATAAATGATCTCCCCAAAATGGTCCAAGAAGCAAAATGCCTATTATTTGCAGATGATTTTAAATTAAACCTACCTATAGTATGTAAGGAGGATTGCACGAGGCTACAAAGTGATATAGATAGGGTGACTAGGTGGAGCAAGGAAAACAACTTGCAGCTTAACACCTCAAAATGTGTCACAATTACATTCTCTCGTAGCCACAACCCTATTGTACATAATTATATGATAGAAGACTGTGTACCCATGACTAGGGTCAAGGAAGTTCGTGATTTAGGAGTGGGTATGAATACAGGATTAACTTTTCGTGAACACATCATTAAATGTTGTAAAAAAGCTTACAAAAGTTTGGGTTTCATACTACGCACAGTTAATAATTTCACAAATATTTACGCAATTACTGCATTATATAATACACTGGTTAGGAGCCAACTGCGGTACGTATATCGCAGACGCCGGCCGCAGCTGCTGGCGGTACCGCGCGCGAGGACTAACTTGCTGCAGCACGCGCCGCTCACGCGCGCACTCAGAACACTAAACAGAGTCCAAGATAAAATTGACATATTTTGTTGTACTCTGAGTGAATTCACGAAGGTCACATTATATGTAATAAGTTATAGTTAAATCTAGGTTTTTTATGTAATTTTTTGTTTATTTTTTTATTTTTATAATCTGTTGTTAGTAGGTAATAATTTTTGTTAGTATTTTATTTAGGTAGGAAATGCTTTTACTTTTATTATATATTTACTTCTATTATATTCTTATTGTTGATTTTAGGTAATAATTTTTGTTAAATCTTAGGATAAGTTACTCTATCGCATTAGGAAACTGTAAAGATAGATGTAAGAGAGAATAAATAAATAAATAAATAAATAAATGTTTCTAAAAATATGATATTATAAAATGTTATGCAATGAGCGTATCCTATAAAAAACATGGTAACATAGATGATAAATTTAAACTGAACGCAGCAACATATAACACTGTACATTAACAGTACATTACAGTACAGTACATTAACAGGTGTAGGATAAATCATAACAACATCGTAACAGCGATAAAGATAATAAGTATAGGAAAATAAATGAGTAAATGATAATAGTATTGTTACATAGAAAATAATAAATAAATAACAGTGTAAACAGGAATAAAGTAGTTAAGAGGGGTTTTAATAATAATGGTTCAAAAAAAAAGTTAAACACCGACATAGAAAATTTATTGATAAGAATGTTATCTCATTTGTACAAAAATCAGAAAGCATGTAATTGGTATGAGGATTGGAAGAAAGGAATGTTCGAACGTGTAAATACGAATGATTTAGTTACTAAGTTTTGTCAATATTGGACTGATCATCCAAATATTGATGATGCTTAAACTGTGCGACTTGAAATGTGTGAGAACGGTGCAAGTTAGTATATGGAAGTGGAGCATGAAAGTATATAAATAAAGAACAAGGTAATGAAGAAATAAGGAAGGAATAAATATTTATGGCAATAATAAAAATGAAAGAAAATGTGACATTGACCAATAAGTAATGGAGAGATATGGGAACGTCCATCACTGGTAAAGCATATAGTTCTCAAGCAGGGTATGCTTCCGTGATAGGATGAAAAAATAAGGAGTTACGGGTACTAGGGAACAACCCCTTCAGTACAAATGATGTACATGAGTTTACTCATATTAGTACTGTTAGGGACCAGAGAAGTCTTAAATTTGTTGCCCTTAATAATGGTACATTGAGGTCACATCCTTCGTTGGATCATGGTGCGAACATAGTTTTCCTCTGTGACAATTGTTGGAGTCCTTTAAAAGTGACTTAAAAACGTAGACCTCAAGGTTGTGCGCACAACCCAAGGTACACTATTACCTTGATAGAGTATGAAAAAAAATTATGTACCAATAAAATAAAATGATTATAATACCCAAGTAAATGGGGGGGCCATATGTATGTGTATAAAGTACCCGCATGATAAATATCATGAAATGAAATATAATTGAAGTGAATTGAAACTCCGGTTCCGATATTTAATAAATAAATACATATATGCGTGAATAGAGAGAAATAAAGCTAGCTAAAAGTCAAAATATTAATTAAAAAAAGAAGAGAAAGTACGTACAAGATGTATGAAAAGAAATGGTAATTGAAAGCCCTAACAATCTACAAAAATACAAGGTAATAAGGGGATCCCCGACCAAATCCATGGGGTTGGATAGATGGTTATTTTGCATTTTTATATTAGGAATACTAACGCTACCCAAAATGCTACTAGCAAGTTGCACATATAACAGCTATAGGGTTCGATTCGCACAACTACACGTAAACAAATAAAAATATATCAACCCAATATGATAAGTACACTTTCGCGTAAATTTATATAAATTTACAAGATTTTTTCATATTCAGGCACATTGATTCATATTTACAATGATTCTACTTTAAATAATTTTTTTTCTGTCTCATGTTTTCTTATGTAAAATGTGTACAATTTTGAACTACATTTATATAAAGCTTATTATAATCAAGTCCAAAGGTTATCGATACACTATTATTGTAAATTTTATAATGTAATCGTTTTTTTTTTCTATAAAAAAATAGTAATGAAAACCTAAAATTGTGTCACCTGCTTGAAATAAAATT